AAACAAATGATGTCACACTTAAATATTGGTATCTATAAAATAACGTATAGATAGAAGATAACTTAAAATAATTGTCGGACTTTGTCGATTTCGTAGTGTGTGACCATTCATATATATATATATATATATATATATATATATATATGATATAATATTATTATATTCAGCGCCTCTACTCCAGAGTTTCATAAACGAACTGTGGTATCTCCTGACGTGTGAACGGAACAATTACAGAAAGGTTCGTTTACGAAACTCTGAAGTAAAGGCGCTGAATATGACATCAATTAGCTCAGTTTAACAAATTTTATATTTGTATTAAACATATTAATGCTTGTCTATGATATCAAGCACTTTATTAAAAAAACCGCTTACCTTAAAAGTGGCTTTCATTCAGATTGCCACTGAATGACAGTATTTCTGACTTTGCTTCATCTTTGTTATCTCAACTTTTTACTAACAAGAAACAAAGTCGGATTATAAATAAAATGCTTGAATATCCTAAGAGATTACCTATCTAGCTATCGTTTAAAAAGACAATTGTCGATAAAGTCATTGATTTTCAAGCTCCATTTTAATGAATCATTGCGTGTTTATCATTCTCTATCATTCGGGGTTCGTGACAACTTTCTTGAATCTATCTCTTCTATAAAATTCCGTGATTTCCGTTTTGCCCGTCCTTCACACCCTCTAACATAACCATACAATGACCATACATTGACCGATCGAAACCAAACCAAATTTTGTGAAGAAGTGCAAGCGGGTAGCTTTTCTTACTCAGTCAGTGAGTTATGTGCCATACGTGATACACGTTTTGGTGATACATAACTGACGAGGCAGATTTTTTTACCGCAGGTTTCTTTCTGCGGTAGACCAGTTACCATCCAAGTCTGTCCTGCTATTTACCCATAGCTGGTGGGAGAAGAAGAGGATTCATACCTTTCCCAAGGATATTAGTACGTAAGTGAATGTAATAGATTCGACTGGAATTCGAACTCGAAATTCCTCAATCCGAGGCGCTTATCCACCGGATGATTACTAGGATCCGTAAAAACCGCGAAGTAGGGTTTTTTGTCAAATTATTTTCCCAAACAATTCAAATTTTATTGACTGGTTTGCGGAATTGAACGTTGTGTTTGTAAACCTCGACAAAAAATGTTTGCGATAACTTCAACAATGCTAAATACTATAAGGATTTCAACATGTGTCAGAGTGTTCAAAAAACAAAAAAACTCTAAAACTCTTGTCAAATAAAACTTCTTGTATCTATATTACGAAAGAAGAACTGATTCTCTGTCGATTACACACTGTCTGCGCGTGGCTTTACCTGTGCATATGTAATGTAGGTGTGTATATCTATGCAAGTACACGCATGCCAGCACACACACACACACACACACACACACACACACACACACACACACTACAACTCCTCTAAATCGAACAACCGCGATGTTCTGTATTGAGGGTACTGTACGGATTCGAGGAAGAAAAGGCTGCTGTGGCAAGCTTAGACTTTTTATTAAGTTTTAGATTTTACGATACAAAAGGTAATTTGTAACGTTGATTCGTTTTTATTTGAAGTGTAAATTGAATACATCAATGAACAAAAAATAATTGACCACAAATAGTAATGAAAAAATTTGTGCTAAACAAATGTAATTTGTGAAAAACTAAGCCACTTTATGAAATGTTTCAAAATTCATGAAAGTTATAAAATTTATCATTCGTCCATTGGCAGATCTTCCTGAATTTCGTTGCGTTCTTCATTTGCATTCATGAAAGTTGCTTCTATGGCGCTTTTGACGCGAGTACGACATTCTTTCTCTTTACGATCGTTCAGTTTCATTTTGATAATTTCATTTTATAATGCGAATGCCTGGATATTCCATTGGTCATTGGAGAAAAAAAAGATAATTCTCTTCCTTTTTGAACTTGGTGATATTGTTATGGGCAAGAAATATTAAAAACCAATTACAATCTGTAAAGAAAGTCAAAAATAAGCATATACAGTACAACTCCTCTAAACCAGACATCTGAGATGTTTGGTATTAAGGGTACTGTTCTGATTTGAGGAAGAAAAGGCTTCATGTTTATGTCAATACAAAAGTTCGGATTTGAAGATAAGTCCAAATTCGAGGAAGTCTAGATTATACTATGTTCGAATTTCGGGAGTTCTATTGTGATTCGACTGAATTTTAAATAAGATATTGGAATAATACATTACCCTCCCCTTCAGTCTGGACAACCCCTTTCCTGTGCTGAGCAACAAAATCATAAAGTTAAAAAAAATAACTTAAAACTCTGGTACGGCTTTACCGATCAGTGTATTCTACCACCATATTTGTATTCTCCATTATTTAACGTAAGGAGAATCGCAAAATCGGAAGGACGGATGTTATTTATTGCTGTATTATAAAATTTACGATAAAAAATTATAAAATAAGAAATTTGAGTAAAAAAATCATAAAACAAGATATCTAAATCCTTTAAATAAAACATT